TCATAGCCCGAATTTCATTGCCAAGACCAATGTCAAGAAGGATATAATGAGAAGTTGGCTGTTTGCACGTAGATTGCTTTGGGAAGTGTGGATATTTAAAGCAATATTAAGTCTTCTAGCCCATGTTTACATTTAATTATTTAACCTGTTTTAGTCGATGTTTGTGTATGGTGTAAGATAAAGGCATTCTTTTGCATGAGGATTTCTAGTTTCTTGGCCATATTTATTAAAGAGGCTCCTTCCTGTTGTATATGCTTGGCACTCTTATCAGACGACCATGTGTTTGTGGGTTTGTTTTGGGAACTGCATCCTGTTCTGTTGGTCTCTATGTCTGCCTTTATGCCAGCACCACATTGTTTTAATTACTAGAGTGTCATAATATCATTTTAAACCAGGAAGTGTGATATCTACGGTTTCCTTCTTTCTCAAGATTGCCTTGGCTATTTGTGGTGTTTTGTGGTTCCATGAGAATTTTAGATTGTTCTTCTTTTCTATCTCTCTAATCCAGGAAGAGTGTCTCACTGTTAGGCAGTAGTTTAATAATGAGCAGTGAAACATGAACCAATAGCACAGCAGGGCAAAGAACTTCTCTGAATTGCCTTTTTTTTTTTTTACACATCTGACAGGTAAAGGCTGCAGAAGGTGGACTCTGGTTCTCCTGGTGAACACCAGACAGTTATCAGTTTGGAAGCAGAAAAGTTTCCTGGTCCTTCTCTGCTTGGAGACATGTACTCTGTCTTGAGAGTGTGCTTATTTGAGCCTTACTTATTACACCTACAATAAAATTTGCTTGCTTGATTTTCATGGGACACAAGAACTGAGGTCTGAATTGTCAGCTCCCACTCTTCTGTGACACCCAGCGTGGTGCCTAGACTCAGATTGACAGCGCCCTCTGCAGGAAGGTGCTTGCAGTTCACCTGTTCACCTCCGGGTTTTGGCTGAGGCTACGCCCAGCTTGGCCTCTGATGCCTTCCTTTGGCCTTGGACTTCTCTGTGAACTCTTTCCTCTGCCAACATTCCCTCCGTGTGTCACACCTACGTTCTGCCTGCTCTTGCCATCTTGTTGCATTTACTCAACTTTATGGCAGTCAGTGACCACATTGGCACCTTGTGTTTTCCACTCGCAAACTTAGGCTCTCTTTACTCTCTAGCTCCCTTTTTTTTTCCCTTTTGATTTTTTTTCTGGCATCTTTCTTCCCACTGCTGCGCTGAATAGAAGTGGCAAGAGTGGGCACCTTGTCCTGTTCCCTAGGTTAGAGGGATAGCATTCAGCTCTGCACCATTGCGTACTCTCCCATGGGCTTTCTGAATATGGCCTTTGGTATTTGAGTTAAATTCCTTCTACGCTTAGTTTGTTGGGGGTTTGTTTTCTTTTAGTCAGAAAAAGGTGTTACATTTTTTCAAAGCGTGTTCTCTGTCTATTGAGATGATTCTATGATTTTTATCCTTCAGAGTTAGAGAATGATCCAGGAGAAAGGGGACATGTAGTGTTTTACCTTAATTGATTCTTTATGTTGAGCCACATACAACTCTTTTAGTTACGTTTTTCCTGAGAATGGAGTAAAGTTTATAGATTGCATTTGGCTGTGTGGTCTCTCTCGTCTTCCTTATTCTGCCACAGTTCTCCAGCTTCCAGAGAGTCCAGTCTAAGAGTGGTCAGCATGTTCCAGTTTGATAGTCCTGGAACTATTCTCCAATAGCCTTTTCACTATAGTCCTTATTTCTATTTGTTCCCCTGTAATTCATTCTCCAGAATGATCTAAGTTGTAAAGTAGAGCTCAGCCCTCTGACATATAAGATGTTGAGTGAAGGGATCTGTTCTCAGAGATAGAGAATGATCCAGTAGAAAGGGGGCAATTATCTGAGCAAAGTTCTTGGGAAGTGTGGAAGGATGGGATCCATAGCACAAGTGCAGGGGTGGGGCTTGGGGACACAGGTGGCCTGTGCTTACTAACAGGAGTGTATGGGCACAGCAGCAGGTGGACCCAGAGATGTGGAGGTGGAAATCTCTTGATGTTCTCTGCTAACTGTTGCTGCCTGCCCCTCAGAGAGTGGGGTGGGGGGAGTGGTATAGGTGTGTGGGGAGAGGAGAGAGACCTGGGAGTGAAGGGATTAGGGGAACCTGGCAGGATTTGGGGCAGCAGGGTAGACTGGAGTCCAGGAGTGACCAGTTAGGGTGCTGAGTGCTTTTCTTCTACCTAAGGGCAGATGCTCAGAGGGAGGTTTGAAGAAGCTGGAAAGGTGGATTTTGACCAGAGCTGGAATTCTGACATGCAAATATGAATGAATGAAAGGGGACAATGGAGTTGGGAGAGTAAGTGGATTTGACATTAGCTGAACGGAGGGTGATCTCTCTGAGACAGCTGACCCCATCCTCAGCTCCAAGCATAGGGTTTTGGTCTAAGGTGAGTCCCAGCTCCCTTGCAAATGATTGCCTTAGGAGGAGACACCGAAGCTACTGAGGATGTAAGATGCAAGGAGAGATTCACTGGAGACTTCAGTGTGTGTGTGTGTGTAAAAGCTGAGCTGATGTAACAAAGAGACCCCCTAAATACAATGGCTCAAATAAGATAAAAGTTCCTTCTGTCATGCAACAGCTTGACTAGTCTAGGACCATAAAGCCACTTTGTGACCCGGGCTGTTCAGGAAACTCGTTCCTTCTATTTGGGTTGCTCTATCATTTTTTAGGACTTTGTCCTTTTCTGCATGATTAACACTGGATTGCTGCCATGACCATGATGTAACTCACATAGAAGAGAAAGCAAGGGCTATGTTACATACCTTATTTCTATTCACATTCCCTTTGCAAGACTGGGGCCATGTGATCCTATTAGTGCAAAGGAGGCTGGGAAATGCAGTCACTAGCGAGGTGGCACGTGACCAGGAGGAAGGGATAAACACACCTTTGGATACCTGGAAAAGCTCTAGAAGTTCTTTTTCTCTCCTCTGAGGATTGTGGTCTGGGATTTTGGAAGCTGGCCTCTTATGCTGAGTATGGAGCTGCCCCAGGGACAAGGGCAGACCCATGGAATCATGGAAGCCACTGGTTAAGTCAACGTGAAGCTCTGTGAGGCAGGAGGTACTGGGGGTGCCATGCTGTGAAGGGAACACTGGCTTGGGAAAGGCTGTGGCTTGGTCCAGGTCACACAGGTAGCAGTGGCAGAGCGCGTGATCCTGAGCTCTGGGCCTGGTGCTCTAGCCCCTCCCCAGTGGGCATACCAAGAGGTCCAGAGCACTGGTGTGCAAGAAGGTAGGTTCAGTGCCAAAGGCTGGTCAGCAGGGCTACTATTTGTATATGTTAAAAAGAGCTTCAGAAAATATAAAATTATCCTTGGAGATAAAATGCCTCAGAAGCCCTTCTGATTTAAAGGGTGTGCAAGAAAGTCTGCGAAGCCAAGGTGTTCTCTACATTTCTCTTTTGTTAGATTTCTGGGCAATAAGTAATTTAGTTGTGTTTTTTTTTCTCTCTGGGATTATTTATTTAAATTTAAATTTAAAATCAGAATGCAATGTTTTTGCAGCGCTGGGGAGTGAACCCGGCCTTGTGCCTGCGGGGCAAGTGCTCTACCACTGCACTACACCCCCAGGCCTGATGCTGCTTTCTCATATGACAAAATGGGGTGCTTTCTAGGCTGGGAATTCGTTTCTATCATGTCTGTTTTATACTTTGGCCATAAAGTAGGCCTAGTATAGTCATAGTCCGGAAAAGGGAGGGGAAACAGGGGAAAGATGTATGTGGTGTGCACAGACAGGGAGCCGTGAAATATGGGATATGGCAGGAAAGAGTGCACTGAGAGACGGGGGGCGGGGGGGGGGGGTCCACACAATGAGAGAAACACAGGTGCTCCTGAGGACTCTTCTGAGGTCACTGCTGAGTATTCTGAAGTAATTTGTCTTAAATGACAGAGAGCCCTGGATGTGTGTTCTGGAGGCTGTCGTCCACCCTGTTACCTGTTTACTTGGACAAATCAGCTGACAGCTTTTTGTCTGAATTTTCTTACTTATTAAGTTTTGTAAGATACTTGCCTCCCCAACCCCATAATTATCATCGTGAGGACTAAAGGGGAGAGTGGACGGTATTTATTAATTTTAACTATGGCTTAGGATGTGCAACATTATAACTACCCCTTTATAGAATGCTTTTTTTAGTACTGTTGAAATAAATGAAGACAGACCTGGCTATAGCAAGATGTTTGGCCCCTGTCTCTAGTGTCTGGCATAGATGCAAAGGCGGGCATAGGGGTTTTCATAATGAAGAACAGAGAAGGCTTCTGATGTCCCCTTCTGGAGGTTGCTGGCTTGGAGTGGCTCAGCAGAAGTGAGGCAGCATGTGGAACTGGTGTGGGGAGCTTATCGGGTTTTGTTTGGTGCTCCTGCCCTGGAAGTGAAGCCAGAATCAGACAGGCAGTCAGTGTGGATAGGTAAATGGAGTCAGGTCGGATCAAGGAGGCCAATTTTGAGTGAGTCCGGGAAGTTGGAGACTGTCCCCTGAGGGATTAAAATGTTAATCCCTTGAGACCCCTTCCTCCACCCTTACAAGAGCCTGCCCCTGCCCCAACCTGCTTCCAAGGTAACCTGTCCCAGGAGTTGCCCCTCCCTATAGGGAGCTATAAGGTTGTTAAAGTGTCCTGGGCTGCTCCATCCTGCCCTACCCCTTCAGCCCACCTGTCTCCCACCTTTTGGTCATCCTGAGGTGAGGTTTGTCATCCAAGCCCATTAATGAGGCCAAGGGAAGGCAAAGCTTTCTCTGACCAGCGTCACGTGTTTGTCGGCTGTAGCCCTGAGGTGGGCAGGCCCCGGTTGGCAAAGCACTGACTGGCTCTTTGCTTTTGCTCCTCTTTTCCTTTCCCTGCTAGCTCTCATTCTGAGGCTGCTTGGCTGAGTTCTTTTTCTAATGGATTCCAGTGGGATTTGGTTGCAAAGGCAGTGCCCTTTGCATAAAAAAAAAAAAAAAAAGAACAAAAGACCACTCAAGACCAATTTCTAGGGTTCTTTCTTTGTCTTTATTCAGCCACATAAAAGCATCATTTGGGTGCAAAGCAGTCTTTTGTGAGGTGGGCCGGGCTCTTGGGTGAGGTCTTTGGGAAAGATTTTGCTGGAGAGCTTTGGCTCTAGATGTGCTGCCCAGGACAGCTCTCTTCCTAAAATGTCTCAGGACTTTCCAGTGCCTTCAGGTGCACAGAAGTCTTGGGCATCAGCCTCTAGCATTAGACATAACAGGTGGCAGAGGCTCGGGAGTATCAAGGTCTCCCCTGGAGCCAGTTGGGGAGGAGGGTGGTGGCCTTCAGTATGTAACTGTGGCTTCTAACTGTGAAGGCAGTGTCGCTGTAATGGAGGGGTCAGAAGCTGTAATCTACTCTATGCATCGGAAGAGCCTTTTGGAAGATCTTTTCCTTATAGAAAAATCAGGAAAATAGCAACAAGGAAAGCCAGAAAACTAATGAGTTTAAACAGACTTTCAAAGGAAGACGGGGATTCTCGTACAGTTCGAGTTTTGGTGGCCTTGAGGGTTCGGTCCCACTGTGTCAGGATGGTGTTTCTGGCTCCTTGCCATTTTCCTGGGCCTGTCAGGCGGAATTGGTATGGTGAGCAGGGACCAAAGAAGATGGCCAAGGCCAGGCGTGGGTCCGTCAGGAGCAGAGAGAAGAGATTGGGCTTTGCATTGATATAGGTCAGGAGCTCGTCTATGTATTCGATGTAATCCGATTGTAAAGCCTTGCAGTAGTGCAAACCGAACCTTTGTAAAAGGAAGATGGTGGTGGGGGGAGACAAAAAGACAACACGATGATAACCTTAGAACACAGCTGCCGGCTCCTTCTGCCTCTTTAAACTCAGCTATCACTGCACCATGCAGGTGGGAAGAGCCAGGACACTGTGGGTGGAGTCTCCGATGTGCTGGTTCTGCGCCAGCAGCTTCCTCTGCCAGGGCCCGCTGGCTTGCACCCTGGGGCTGAGGTCCCAGCAGGGTTCCCACTCGCCGGCTCCTCTTTCCTTGGCCAGCTCTTCTACTGACCCCACCGCCGCGAGTCTCCGATGCTCCAGAAGCTCCCCTCTTTTCCCCAGTGTAACTGCACCTCTCTGCTCCAGTTTCCCACCTCCCTGTGATTCAGAAAACACGCCTACGCGGTGCACTCACCCACTGGGCTTGTTCTGTTTCCTTTCCTCCACTTCCTCTATCCTGACGCTGGGTGGCGGCAACGTATGCAGACCTATGGGTAGACAGGACCATGCAGTTTGACTTTGGTGCCCTCTTGTGGACAAGGGAGCTTTACTGCCTCGTCCTTCATGTCCAGTGCCCTGCAACTCATCAGCTCTGGGGAAAACGTCCTCGGCCTGAGCTGATGGTGTGCTCCTGGCAATTCTGTCTCCCTCAGAAAGCACAGGCACCCCTTCATCTCACTACTTAATGCAGCAGAACGTCACAGTGCGTTCAGACTTATCACTCTGTTGGCCAAACTTTTACATTTTAATTGAGCCTGTCAATTCAGTCAAAATAACAGGAAGATGGAGTTTATATTTTTGATACCTGGTAAATGGTCCAAGTCACCCTGACAGGCTAATCCAGGGAAATATAGAATGGATCCTGCTTTTAAAGATGCTGTCATTTTAAATGGGAGCCGGTAATGGTCTCAAAACCTCCAGTGTCCAAAGTCACCTGCCCTGCTGCTTCCCACACTCACCTTTCAGGACTTGGACCACCCATCGAGCTTGTACCTCTCCTGTGGGTATCATGGAGCCCAAGGGCTTGATGAGGCCAATCACAGCCAGGGTTGGCTTTTGCAGGTGTGCAGGGAAGACATACTTGTACAGAGATGCCTGGCCACCTTCAACTTTCACAACAGATTCATCGAGGAAGGGGAAAGCAAAGGTGTACCCAGTGGCAAAGACGATGATGTCAACGGGCTCCTCCTTTGGGGTGTTGCTGAAGAGCACGGAGTTTTCCTTCACCTCTTTTATGCTGGGCTTGATCTGCACCTTGCCAGTGATGATGCAGCCCGGGAGGTCGTCGTTTATCACGGGCTCTCTTAACTGCACCCTGAACCAAAGCACAGGCAGGGGAGAGTGCTGACCAAACAGCTTAGCCTCCCTCCTCCTTCCCTGACTCTCCAGTCGGGGCCTCTACCTGGCTGGACAAGAGGTGCCAGTCTTGGGGGAAGCTCCCTGGGTGGGAGGGGATTCAGGGATGTCCAAGGCTTACAACTGATTAGAGTTTGGGAGCCTGTAAGGAGCCCAGCCCTTGTTACCCTCCCTGTCTTCAGTATTCAGCAGTCACCTGTCATCTAGAGATCTCCTGGTGCTGAAGGGCCGGGAGGGGAGCATCTGTATCCTGGGAATGCTGCTGGGAGCTCTAGCCAGTCCCTTCTCTTCCAGAAAGCAGTTGTGTAAGGAAAACCCATGTGTTCAAAGGAACCAGGCGAGAGCCCTCTTCTATGGCTATGCCTTTGAGATCGTAAGACGAGCAGTTTGTGAGTTGCTCTTGCATAAGCCGTTTATGGCTTATGGTGAATGCACAGGAAGAGATGGTGTGGTGAAATGGAGGCAATAGATGGTAATAAGGGTGGTTCCTTGTCCAACTGCTTATATCTAACAAAGCTTGGGTAAGCCATTTAGCACCTATAGGCTTTCTTCTATTCACCAACACCTGGGACACTGACACTTGCCGTCCTTAAGTCATTGGGTAGAATGCAGAACATATGGCAAAGGACAACCTGCATTGAAGAGAGGAGATACTATAGCTCTATGTATGTACTATGGTCCTGTGAACCACCATCTATGCTAGTCAGAGTTTGTGGTGGAAGGAGTCCCAGCCCTTGAGATACCTGGAGGCAGGGAGTGGAGATAAGAACTAGGTGGTGGTGGTGGTGGGGACAATAGAGAGAAGGGCATGTTGAAAGCACAGGACGGGGCTGCAGGCCCCCAGTGGTGACTGGGACCACCCATCCATGTTAGTCCAGACTGAGGTCTGGAGGGAGACCAGACAGGATCTCCAGCTACAGTGTCAGCTGGTAGTGGCTTTCCACCCTGTAACCCTACTGAACGCAGAAGTAAGACTTTTGGTTCTTGCTGGGGGATAAGTTGTAGGTTGTAAATGAAGAGACAGACCGACATCACGGTCATCTCTGCCATGAGAGAGGCAAGGAAGGGCAACCGCAGGATTCCGTTTTTCCAGCATAATGAAGCAAAGCAAGTATGTTGTTTTGTGAACAAAGTCCGTTTGCTGCTGTGGAGGCCCATGTAGCTTGCTGAAGCCCCAGCGCCCACTCGCTGCACAATCAGTGAAAGTGACTGTATTTTGCTAAGCCTCCATTTCCCACAGTAATGAGGAGAGGTGATAACTCCTACCTCAAAGAGCTGTTCACAGTACACCATTCACCCTCTGATCACTTAGGAACAGCGAGCTACTATTATCAAGGGGATTCAAATGCAGTTTTGGTTTGTTGTCGTGTTGCTGTGACCTTGCCTGGCTTGCATATGCCACTCAGACCCCATCTCCCTGATAGCCCTGGACAGATAGATCATATTTACCTGTCGTCTGGTGCTAAGCCATAATTTACATGATCGAACCAGCTGTTCATCTTTCGTGCCAGCAACCAACTCGCAATTGGAGTTGGGAGAGCATTTCTGAACATGTTCTGAAATCGTGTTGTGAACACCATGTCCCACGGGTTCCCTGAGTCCGAGAGTCTGCTCATCACCCATGACCCTCCAGTGGTGCTGAGGAACACCTGGAAGCAATCAGAGATGCTAGATGGGTCATGACCTGAAAGGCACCATGTGTCTGTCACCCTCAAAATGCAGACCTAACAAGATAGTCTTGGCTCTTCTAACCACTCTTTTATTATTATTATAATATATAATTATAAGTTATTATAAGTTATAATTATATTATTATAATATATAATTATAAGTTATTCTAATGGGATAATATTTGAATATGTAGCGTATTAAAGCATTATTGTCTGCCAGGCTTGAGATACCTGGGGACCTCGGCGTGCCCCGTGGGAAGATGCTGGGCAGGGATCGCAGGTACCTGCACTAATTCCACTTGTTTGCAATGAGAACAGGCTGTGGAAGCCATCAGGGCTGTCTTCAAAGTTAATTTCTCCACACACTACTGGTTTAACTGGCAGTAAAATTCAGTAATACAATCAGTCTTTTTTTTTTTTTTATCAGATTGGCTGGCTGAGTTTACCACCCAGTTCACTAAGCTCATTGTTGTATTGGTACCTACAGGACAAGTAATTTCCTGTGTAATTGTTCAAAACACACACACAAAATTGGTTAACTTATCCATTACTTTGTTAATACAAGACAACTGATTCAACAGTGCTCATCTCCCACCTGACGGGGCACGAGGGCCACAGCCACAGCGCCAGTGCTTTTGTCTGACTTTATGACACGGAGTGTAGCGTCTGGCACTGCACATGGCCCGCTAGAGCTGCAGGCCATGGCTGCTCTGACTGTTTGTGCACGACCCTGCCTCTGTCATGACGCAGAATCAGAGGTGACCTTTCAGTGGATATGAATTGTGACCAAAGCTAAGGGGGGTTTCTTTGCTGATGATAAGATGTATGCCAAAGCATGTTTTCTGATTAAAGAAACTTCCAGATGGTTAGTGACACAGAAATAACCATACGTCACACCCACACGAGGTGGGCCCGGGGGATGGACCTTTTCCTTTCTTCAGATAATTCACCCTAAGTTCCTTCAAATCAATTAGTCCATCTGTCAGTCAGCGAATCAATCATCAAGCCCTTGGCCTCCTCTTCTGCATGCAGGGAGACCAGGGCCCTACTTCAGTGGCTTGTTTTGGTGATGAGGTGGCCACGCAGTGGAAGGCGTTTAGTGCAGTGCTTGGCAGAGTCTCCCAATCAGCAGTTACAATTTCTGCAGTCACCATCTCCTAATTGTGACATTTCCACTGCAGTGGGCCCACTGGGAGAGGGGCATGGACCCCCATGGGGGAGTGGCAACGAGTAAGGAGAGATGGGGCAGGTGGGAGACCTTAGCCAGAAACAGTTGCCGGGATCTTCTGACTTCCGGGACTGGATAGAGAAGAGGTGTGTCCCAGAGCTCTTGCTGGTTGACTGGGAAATGACACGTGTGACAAGTCAGAGAAGCTGGTTTTGGAGGAGAGAAGACAACTGGATTTCACAGTAAAATTTATGAACACTCAATACAAACTATGAACACTCAATAAAAATCTATTGTGTTAGGCTTTTGTGCTCCCTGAACATCTGTCACGGTGTCAAATGCAGCCTATGACAAAGCTCTTCACTAAGTCACATCAAGAGTGGTACCTTCTTTGCCAGGTGGCTGGCCTCCACAGCAATGTCTGTGCCGGAATTTCCCATTCCAACCACAAGGACTCTCTTATCCTTAAACATGTCTGGATATTTATACTGTCGGCTATGAAAGTACTGGCCTTTAAAAGTATGTATACCTAGAGATAAAACAAGGTCAAATAGAAGATTTATAGGGTCAGTGAATAAAATACTAATAATATTTTTCGGTTGATAGCACCCTTTTGACAGATAATTCAGGTTATTTTTACTAATACATTCAAGTTTGAGGAAATCTGAAATACAAATTCAAGACTTTGTAAAATATCGCCAGGGAATGACTCCATGTTATTAGACGGGCTGTGAGCGGTACCTACAAGATGGTTAACTCCTGGGCTGAAGTATTATGGCATAAAAATGTTTTAAGCAGGAGTCATTACGTTTAAGGGCTGTTGGAAGTCAGCGGGATGATGTTCTGTTCACTAATACCCGACTCTTACACGCTGCATAGCTTTTCACATCCAACGGACAGGAGTAGAGAATCTAAAGGGAACTGTGAACCAGTGCCTCTACTCGGGGACATCCGCTGTGTGCCTGCTGCTGTGTGCCTGCCACTGTGCTAGATGAAATGGGGAAATAAGACAAATTCACCAAGATCCATGTGAGCTTGGGAAGTTCACTGGTAGTTCACCTCGGTGACTGACGGTAACTCGGCCTGAGTTTGCTGAGTCATCCAGAGAAAACTGGGTTGTGGCCAACACCAGGATTTTGGGGCTAGCTGTATCCCAGGCAGTCAGTGCCAGACTAAACTTAGTGAGACATCTAATGCAAACGGAGACTCTTTGAAAATTCTCTCAAGGCCATGTTTCACAATCAGAAGTAATTTGAACTGAACAAAGAACCAGTTGATAAGATACTGAGATTCTCCTGGGGGATAAAGGTATCTGCTTGTGAGTAGTGGCCTTGTCAAGACCAGGTGACCCTGAATCCTTAGGATTCTAGCTTGAATCCTGGTTAAAACCTGACCACAGTCCACAGCTTACAGAATATAGCCTGGATGCAAACAAGTTCAAATATTAACTCAGTACAAAAACCCAGCATGAACCCCTGAGAAGGAAAAGCTGAAGAGAAATATCTCTAGTCTTTAGGTTACCTTAGATTCTCCCCGGAGTAGGCTATTTGGGTCACCAAGAGACAAAACAGACTTCATATGGCTGAGTTGCTTTCTTACCTCATCGGGGATAGAGTAGGAACTTATATTAGGTGAATGTGGCTGTGTTAGTGAATACCAGACTGTATATAGCTGAGTGAATAAAAATAGTCATTTGGGGGAAATTCTGCATTTATTTTAATTTTGATATCTATTATTTTCACTAAGACTTTTTGGAATACCTCCTTTGGAGTTTCCTCCAGAACTGGCGACACATTTTTAAAATGTCTTCAGTGAATTTGGATTTTTGTCAGGGTTAACAACCACCCCAGGGTGTATGTGCAGAGCAGGGCGTCTGCTGTTAGGAAGTAAGGGGGCTGTAGAGATTGGGGGGCTGCATTTCAATCCAGATCATAGACTCCTGGTGCTCAAAGGCTCTGTGACAGCCGTTAGCTGGGGATTTCAGATTGGTAGTGGCTGGTTAAGTCTCACAGAGCCTCCTTGTTTGATGAGTGACACATGCTGTTGGGTGAGGTGATCCACGCTCCTCCGTTTATGGAGGAAAGAAGCAGCGGGAGGTAAAAGACGGTAAGCTCTAGTTAGTTATGTAGCTTAGAATTCATGCCTTCTGGGTCCCAAGCTCATCCTGTTCAAACTGAGCACATTTGGCCTCTGTGCGGGCAGGGTGTGCTTTATCCTACTCTGACAGGACTCCTGAGGAGGCTTCTAGGGCAGATCTAAGACCATGGGAGGCACACGACTTCACTGAACATGTGTATTGGTACCCTCCAGGCCATACATAGACTAATTCCTCCACTGTACGTCCATAAAACTGTATTCATACCTTCATTGCAGACCACATGTGGTCGGGTCCTCGTGTATATTGCTAGCACCTGTGTAATTCACCAAAGGTGATGAATCAGTCCAGTTTCCCCTGTGCTATGGAACTTTCTGGATTCTCTGGATGACCCTAAGCCAGGCACTCTTTCCTGAGAGATCAGAGGAATGGCTGCCTGGGGCTTTGCTCTGCAGGTGAGAACTCGGAGGTGTGTCGTCTTGTGGATGGAGAGCATCCATAATTGGGTGTGTTAGAGCAAAGCCTGTTGAACACTCAGACCCTGGAACCTGAGGCACCATTTCCTGCCTGGGAAGAAGACCGAACTTGTTCTTTTTAATCCAGTGATTCTGTTCTATGGCAGTTTTCAGGATACGCATTATCCTCATTGGACCTGACTTGAGAAGTCTCTGGGGAAGATTCAGAACCATTGGAAGAACATGAATTTATTGTTTAAGATGAGTCTTGGGATTACTCCAGGCCATATTGAGATGACTTCGACTGAGTTTTAACATTTTTTTTTTAAATATTTTTTTAGTTGTTGATGGACTTTTATTTTAATCATTTATTTATATGCAGTGCTGAGAATCGAACCCAGTGCCTCACACATGTGATGCAAGCACTCCACCACCGATCCAGAACCCCAGCCCAGGAGTTTTAACATTTTAAATGCTTACTGCAGGTGAAATAAACCAAACTATTGTGTTTTCTATTCCCTTCAGTTGAAGTCCAATTGAAATTTGGCACAGATTAACATGAATTATGATTGCAAAAGCTAAATAAAGAAAGTAAGACCCAAAGGTGTCTGGACTTGTCTCCCAAGGTTCATTTCTCTGTTGACTATTTATTGATCCACTTCCATAAACCCCTAATCTAGCTAATTGCTGTGGCTCATATAAAACAAACAAAAAATGGAATTGCTCTTTCTTCTATTCACAGGTTGACCTTTGTGGCCTCTAAGCTCAGCTCTGGCACTGTGCAGATGCTGCTGAGGTAAGCAGCTTGTTCAAGTGGCCCATGTTGCCGGGTATCACTTAAGGAGGAACAGGGAACCTCAGGGACATAAAGCTGCTCACTAAGTTAAGTTACCCGTCATTCTCTTCCATACTCATTGGTTGTTTGAAAAAAACAGTTAGAAGAAGTGCCAATTACGAAAACTGTTCCCTCACAGGTATTTACTGGAGGAGCCATAGGGATGCATCCCCAGACCAATCAAGTATCAGCATGGGTCCCAGGAAACCATTTAAGGTCATATGCAGAACGCGCTGTGTGTACCTGGAAAGGAGTCCAGTGGCAAATACGGGGTGGTGAGATAACCAGTGCAGACCATGACCGCATCAAAGGTGGCAGAGCTTTGCTTCCCTTCATGCATTGTGACCACCTCCCACTGGCCAGAGACGGCAAAATCTGGGCGTTTTGTTACACTGCAGACTGTGGTCTGAAAAAAGAATCACAGACGTGATTAGCAGTTGTCAAGGTGCCCTTAGTGACTTGCTGGCTAATGTGCCAGTGGACATTTCAAAAGTTCTAGAACAAAGACCAAACAGAATTAATAAGCACCTCATTCAAATCAAATCAGGCTCTCAGACTAGCCATGATTTCTTGGCTGGAAATACTCTAAGCTTGGGGTCGTGGATTTTAAGGGACTTGCTCAAATCCTCACAGCAAGTGACAGAACAAAGATTATACGGAAGGTACCAGATGTCTCTTGGTTTTTGTTTCTGTGGTGCGATGTTCTCTGTCTCTGAGCCCTAACAACAATTCCTTTAATAGAGAATGGATGTACTCTTGAAGACCTAAGTTTGCTCCCAAGTAGCTTATGGAAAGTTCTATAGAATATGTTGCTGAGATTTTTCCTGACCTAGAGAGCTTTTGGAAATTGCTAAGCTTATGGCCTGAACATTTGGGAGTGGTATAAATTCAAATATTTTGTACTCATTGAGTACATACATGTACGTGAGTATTAGAATTCAGGAAGTTTAGTTATTTACTTGCAGTACCAGGGACTGGACGCAGAGTCTTGTGCATGCTAGGCAACTGACTTTGCCTTCAGCCCCAGGAAATATATTTATAGTAAACCGAATATAAGTCAGATTTAAAAGCAAAAAAAAAATGCACTAACAGAGATACTTTGTTTTTTATTCTATTCAATTTTCAAGGAAGATGGGCTTCTCAGATCTTCCTAGCTTCATATTATTCGATATGCCTATTGAGTTTCTACATTTGTATTATCAACTCTGTCTTTTAGAAAAGGTGTCTTTGAGCTTGCCAGTTCAGCTCTTCTTTACAGAATCCAGAGCTATGCTATAGAGAAGGAATAGAAAATAGGCAGGAGAACACTTTCTGACTACTAACTGAAGTTTGTGTCTTACCTTGAATTGAATGCATTCCAGAAGGTTGAACTGGTTTGCATACATTTTGAGATATTGTAGGAAATGAGAATTAGGCACATAGTTTGGACAATCTTCTGGGAAGGGAAAATCCGAGTAACAAGACATCTCCTTGCTGCTGTTGGAAACCACAGACTTGTAGAGGCTGGCTCTACCCTCTTCAACATGTTCCTGTAGAAACAGTGCTCATGGGTGAGCAGGCACGTGCGTGCGCGCGCGCGCGCGCGCACACACACACACACACACACAATGGATGTAAACCTTTTAGAAATCTCAACATTGACCAAGCTTAAGGTGATCCAGATGACGCATGATGCCTGCCACCTTTCTAATAGGATTTGCTGTTCTGCATCTAGGAGGTGACATTCGTCCCTAGTATAAATCACATAATCAGAATCATTCTTTCATTCATCACATGCTAACAAATAAATCCAGGGTAAACTTACCTGTTCAAATTCATGCAGTATCACTACAAAGAACAGGAGAATGGAGAAACAGATGAGAGCCTGGAAGCAGTTTCTGGACAATGAACAATTGTTAGCTACTTTGGTTTCATAGAGTATTCTTGAAATGATTATACAGAATATGAAAGTTTTGTATCCAAAGTTAAGGGATGTGGATTTTTATGGAAAGGTCATGTAATCCACTGAAAGTTTTAAACATGGAAGTGATTCATATTAAATTTTGGAAAAGTTATTCTGGATCTACAAAAGATGGATTAGAGAGGGCTGGAAAAAAAGGAAGAGGGTCAGTTAAGAGCCTAAAACACAAATATGTGATTGCTAGTGAGGACCTGAATACAGGTGGTGGCTGTTGCCACCCAGAAAGCTGGCATTTGTGACCGGTGGTAGGTAGAAGGCATAGGACTCCGGGACAGTTGGATTTAGGGGCTCCAGTAGAACAGCCAAAGGTTTCCAGATTGAACAACTGTGTGGATGGCACATTCTGACCAGTTTTCTACCCTCTGTTTTGACTGGAATAACAAGTAAACATCAGCATCTCATTAGACTGTCCCAAGAAGTTTTCGTAATATCTTTACTTTGCATCTGTCTTTGGATGTGGAGGATTGCGCTCCTGATTTCGGTGGGAAGGTCCCTGTATTTCAATGTCATTCACTATCTTGGATTTGTATAGTTTCTTTTTCCAGTGATGTCGAAATTATTTTATTTACATAAGTAAGTGAACATGAACCTCATATACGTAGAGGGCTTACTGTTGCCTCTATGAGGTAGAAACCTAGACCTGCATGAAATGTACAGTAATCATTGAGACTAAAAAGCAATGATAAAAACCTCTGTGGTTTAAATCAACATGACTGATCTCATCAGTTGATTTGACTTTTTTTTTTATAACCTGCTTATCTGTGACTCCATATCTGACAGCTTCATTGATCTAGAACAAAGCTAGAAATCTGGAGGCTGAAAGGCCTCTGAGAAGGTGACTCTAAATCTTGCTCTGTTATCTCACTGAATACCTACAGCAGTACTAATCAAGTGTCGCGTGTTGGAGGTGCCATTATGAACTGGTGGTCACCAGTCTGTGACAAGATACATGCAGAAATTGAGAGTAAGCATTCAGAACCTTCTACAGCAATAATGGGACACCATTCAGCATCCAAGTTCATGCAGCCCTCTTTGTGGCACAGGACGTAGATGGGCCTTGTTTCCTTGTTTCCTTTGAGTTGCGTGGAGTCTAGCCTGTGCTCTAGCCGCAGGCCTAGAACTGCAGCAGAATGTGTGGTGTTCAAGCCTTGTTGGAAACTGTCATACCTAAGTGCATAAAATCTGGAATCGTTTCATTTCACTGAAAAAAACAAAACCATATCTTTAAATGTAAACTTACAGAATGAATTATTTGAACTGGCTCCTGAGAAAAGACAGAAGATAGATTTTTAAAAACAGCACTATTTGCTTCACTTCGCATAGTAGTTTTATTTTTTTAAAAAAGAATTCCTTGCACTTGCTGAGATGGTGTTAAAACCTCTTCCTCAGTCTAGTCAGCACACTCCTGAGCCTGTTTTCCTACTCTGAGCACTGTAGGCAACACTTAGTGTAGATTTACATTGTTCCACTGAAAGATTATCTCCATCCATCCAATTCAGATTAGGTACCTTGATAAGCAAGAAGCAAGATCCTCATATCAAAAAAAACCTTAAATATCAATACACACTGTGTATTAAGAGTGTGTCTGCAGGTATTTAATATCGAAAACTGTTATATCATACCAAGTGTTTTGTTTGGCTGAAAGGTACAAGTGTAATGGTGGCTGTCTGTGTTAATTACCTATGTGCACAGAGAACAACGTGTCCTTTTTTGTCATTATTTTCTATGTTTAGTGATATTTATGAAAATTAATCTTATGACTTTTGACTCAATACAAATTTTGAATTCATTGTTTCTCATACATTTTTGTTGTGTATTTTTCATTTTTTCTAAAAATTTGTTTTTATTACATTTGATAAATAATAGCCTATAGTTAGTTAATTGGAAATGAAGAAAATCGGGTTGTTCTCTCCAGTTTGAGAAGCACAGCTATCCATCCCAGTGCCTCTGAATGTTGCTAAGAGTTGCTGGGAAAAATCTTACTAATGTGTGGATTCTGACTCAGTAGGACTGGGTGAGCCTGAGAGTCTGCATTTTAACAGTTTCCAAAACATAGTCCCATCTTTGAGTTACATCCTGCTGGCCCACGGACCACGCGTTGAGTAAAAGGCTTTACAACAGCTTCGCGCAGTAGGAATGCAGAGGGGGCCACATATGTGGCTTTAAATTCTCTAGTGGCCACAGTTTTTCAAAAAGTAAAAAGAAACAAGTGGATTAATTTTTAAAGTATATTTTACTTGACTCAATATATTTTAAATATTATGATTTTAAGATGCAATCAATATAAGATTATTATTGAAGGGTTTCACATTCTTCTTGTCAGACTGCCTTCAAGATATGATGTGTGTTTTCTACATATGCCAACATATGCTCAATTTTCACTAGAAAAAGTGGACTCACCCATGTTGATCCAAATATACTTAGAAGTTCTACAATAACTGAACTGAGTTTAAAATTGAAATCAGTTGAGATAAAAAATTCAGTTCCTTCGTCATAACAGACACATTTCAAGTGCTCCATGGCTCTGTGTGGCCAGTGGCCACCGCATTCTAGAGCCTAGTTTGAGAACATCCTTCAACGTGAAGGTGGGCATTAGAATCACATGTGAAGTTGGTTTGCTTTAATCTAAATGGTAATTGGGAACAGGAATAAGAAGAGTAGCCCTGAGGATCTATAAGACGAGCACACACCCAGGGGGGAAGCTGCAGAGGGGGAGAAAAACATGCATCATAAACATGGTGGGATTGACTAGCGCAGGGCCAACTCCCTCTCACACTTTCCTGGCTCCCAAGCCACAGAGTAAATACTTTATTGTTAATGCTGGCAGTTTTTGTTAACAATAATACAAGGCTAACACACTCACACCCACACGCACACACACACTCACACTCTAACACACGGAAAGTTGAAGGAGGCTGAGATACATGATGTGCTTTGTGAAGATTTACATAAGAGTATTTCAAAATTGAAAGCATTTGTAACGGCTTGTTTCAGCATCAGAGAGTAAAGGGGACCTGCAGGAGCCGGATAAGCAGGCACCTTGTGTTTTATGAGACCTTAAAGCAAATGGAAATAAAAAATGAAAACAGAAGAGAAAACCCCCCTCTTTGCATAACTTAGAAGAAGGCTTGGCGGAACACTGGAACCTGTGGTGAGATAATGTATCACAGATGCTGCCACCGAGGAGCGGTGGAGGGAGAAATTCAGCCCTCAGGGTGGAATCCAAGAACAGCTCCGCTGCCCTCTTGCCTCCCACTGGCTGTTTTTCCTGGAAAAGCCCAAGTCTGGGGTATTGGGCCCAGGCCCAGCCAGCAGGGTCACGTCCCTTGTCAGTGCAGGAGGCTCATACATAGTGTGTTCGAGTTGGAAAGCACCTTCAAGAACACCGACTTTGGGCATTTTCAAAGTACTATAAAGGTTCTCCCAGAGACTTGTATATCAAGAGAAGGCTGCTAAATGAAGGTCGGGTGGATTTTCCTACTTCCCAGGCTACTGATGATTCAGCACTGTCTTTTTTTCAAACTGCTCCACGGGTTCATTTTATAAGTGAGGTGACAGGCGGAACGACTTGGTGGCGGGGTGGCATTTACCTTGCCCACTACTCACCGTCCTCTGATGTCCTACCACGTTCCCCGCAGCGTCTCTTCGCCAGCTCCTCTATTTCCCCAGTCCTCCAGTTCCATGTGCCACCCCTGCACCCTCCTCGCCCCCTGCCGCTGAAGCTGAGGCCCTGGGGTGCTGCTCCTGCGCCCACCTTCCCTTTCCCTCAGCGCCGGCCTCTCTGCCTCTCCAGGTACAGTCCCACTGCTCTTGTCTGCCAGGGTCTTGTCCCAGCCTGGACTGGTGTCCAGTGGTCAGTGGCTTCCTGCTGCCCATAGATCCTCTCTTCACCTACAGACCTCTCTGGGTCTTCCTATCACGCACACAACACAACTCATCGAGAACAACTGCAAGCACAACCACCACTGGTGATGTTGCTCAAGTTGCTTTTCAAGCTGAATTTGAACTTCTGGCCCAGACATTCAGCCACCCTCCTCCTTCCCATTATTCCTCTAAACCAAAAGGCTTTTTAATTTCCTGAACACACCTGGCACTTTCTCTTTGCTGGTCCCTCCCTGGCACCTTCTGTCCAGCCTCTTCTGCCTGTTGAAATCCTTCAGGGCCACCATCATGCCTCTCTTCCACGAACCTCCCCCCGCTTCCTGAGTCTCCCCCATGTGACCACCCAGGCGCCATCTCTGACTTGCAAGATGCGGGCTTCTCCCATCTGCCTGACGGCTCCCTGCGCAGGCGGACCCTTCTCATTTCTGTGTCCCCCTGCATGGGTGTTTGATCTGCACAAGTCACACAGCCAGTTGGCTTCAGATGGATGGAGACCTGTTTCTCTTGATTCTTAGATGAGTGAGTTTTAGTGTGAAGAATAAGGAGAATTTTTTGTTGTTGTTTTTTGTACAGGGGATTGAACTCAGGGGCACTCAACCACTGAGCCAGCATCCCCAGCCTTATTATGTATTTTATTTAGAGACAGAATCTCACTGAGTTGCTTAGTGCCTTGCCATTGCTGAGGCTGGCTTTGATCTCGCAATACTCCTGTCTCAGTCTCCTGAGCCCCTGGGATTACAGGTATATGTCACCGCTTGCTTCCTGCTTAGGGAGCATTTTGTCATCCCAAGAGGCAAAGTACAGCTTTTAGTCTTTGGACTCGCTTTTTGCCTTGACTGAGATCACCTTAGCCAGATAACTCTGCTAATTGGGCAGTTTTATCTTTCAGGAAACTCCCAGCTCTGACTGGTTGTATTTGTCTGGAATACCTGAAGGAATCTGAGACTTATTAGAGGAAAGGTTGACTGGTTAGTACTGTCCTCAGTAGACACAGGGTGGGGAGAGTTTGGCTCAGGTATCAGGGCTCTGCCATCCTGTTGGACCATATGCAGTTTGAATTATGGGGACAGATGTGCTCCGTTGCATCTGTTCTTGGAGAGCCTGCGCGTCTCAGTGATCACATACGGTGGCTGGCCGCATTCTCAGATGCACACTTCTGTGTGCGAGCCACGCTGGCCTGTGCTGGCGGACTGTGCACAAACCAGCAGCCCTAGCCTCTCTGAAGCTTTGCTCCCTGAATTATAAAATTATTGACTCTGGTTCCAAATTCTGCAGTGCTATAATGGAGGAACGCTGAGTTTTTCCCCTTGAGCCTCTCAGAGGCTCTGAGGCTGTCGGACACCTTGTTGTCACGATTCCTGACAATGTTCCTCTTCACAGATTTAAACCTCATAGGAAATATTTTTGCTCTGCAGAGGCAAAAACAAGAGTTTTGGGGAGCTCTGCTGTAGCGCCCCGCAGCAGAGCACTGGGGCTCCACAAAACTGTCTGCCTGGGTTGGGTTTCAGTGGCCGGAAGCAGGGCTGCTGGGCGCCCCCTGGGCTTCAGGCCAGTAAAGGTGAGAGTTCTAGTCCCCTCTCCTATCCAGCCTGCAACCAGTTTTAGAATATGGCTTCTCTTTTGTTTGGGGAACCAAAAAGACTCCAAACTCACCTGCTTTGTTTCTGATTGTTCCCGGCTGGTCTGGGATTGCTTGGGCCCAGGACCTTGACCTGGGACTCATCCTGCACTGAGCCCTGGCCACTCTAATGCAGGTGTGCGTAAAGCGGGGGTCTTGCAGGCAGAGGCTGGAGTTCCTGCTGTTACCCCCACGCTGCAGGCTCTGGGCTGCTTAGACCCTGGCTCTGCGCCTGCTCCCGGTCCTGGGCTTGTCCGGTCACCCCATTCCTTCCAAACTCTGTGGCTTGCTTGTTGACATTTCCCCCACCTCCCCCTGGTGCAGTCGTAGGCTGCGGCACACCTCCCTCCCGCCCTCGGCCGACCCATTTGTATCTCTGACACTTTCAGCGCCCCTCCTGCCCCCCCATCCCGCAGACATTGGCCTTTCCCGGGGCCACCAGCCCTTGTGAAAGAAACACGGTCTCCTGTTACACCGCTCAAGCCACCTCCGACAGTCAGAAGCACAGAACCCCACTCACGGTGAACCTCCACAGCCCCCCGATGTCCTCGCTCCTCTCGAAGCAGGTGGGCTGCAGCCCCTCCTCCAGACAGCACTTGACGGAGGCCAGGCCACTGACGCCGGCTCCCACGACCGCCACTCGCTTGGCCATGATCTCCTGAGTGGGAAAAGGCAGCGGAGCTAAGACTGGATCCACAGAAGCCCCACCCCACCCTTGGCAGCCCCGACAACCAGGAAAAGCATCTGAGGATTAGGGAGGTCTCTCAGTTTGAGTCCTCTGTGGCCGCCTCTGGCGTGTTTGGTAAATGAACTCATGCTTCACCTTATATACTTCTCAATTAAAAAACATTAATTGAGCAAATATTTGCAGGTAGCTAATATCCTGGGTCAAAGATTCCTCCCTCAAAGTGACCTTTTGTCAAACATGCATCATGTAGAAATTCTCTGAGCAGTAAATCTCCTTACGACTTTTTCTGGGTCATTGGGGCAGTGGTTATGAATCAGAGACCTGGGTTTGAAATTCAGTGCTGATTGATTATCATGGCATGAATTAAGTGATTTAATGATTATGTGTCTCAGTTTCCTTCTCTTTAGTCTGAAACTAGAAGTATAACTGGTCTTAGACATTGTAAAAAAAAAAATTTTTTTTTTGTACAGGGGATTAAATTCAAGGGCACTCAACCACTGAGCCACATCCTCAGCCCTATTTTGTATTTTATTTAGAGACAGGGTCTCACTGAGTTGCTTAGTGCCTCTCTTTTGCTGAGGCTGGCTTTGAACTCACCGTCCTCCTGCCTCAGTCTCCTAAGCCGCTGGGATTATAGGTGTGCACCACTGCACCCGGCTCAGTGTAAAATTTAATTGACTGATGAATAAAAAGCACTTTTCACAGTACTTGGGGGCAGTTACCCCCCCATAAATGTTGCTTCCTTATCTTCATGAGATTTTTCTTTGATATTTTGTGGACATCTGCCTTAACAACATGGGTTTATGTACAAAGTTACAGGATATTTGGAATCAGAGTCATTGGAAAAAAACTGAAAATATATGTGTAAAAAGATGTCTTGTAGAAAATGAAAGAAATGAGTAGGGAAACATAGGAATGGCGACAGGAGGAGGGCAGAGGGAGAAACAGAGGAGCGCGAGGATAGGCCTCTGCACCCCAGAGCTCTTCCCTTCCTTCTTCTGACTTTTCTTACTGGACACTCCTGGTGGATACCAGGACTCCCATGAGCTCGCCTCACATTTGGAAAAGCAAACCTCAGAAGGTACGGGACATGGGGACGTCATCACTCAGGTAGAATCAACACTTCCGACACTCCTCCAAGGCTGGTGACCACGGAACCCGAGTGATTCAATAACAGAGTGATTCAATAAATGCTTTAAAAAATGAAAAGTTTTTCTCCTTAACTTTAACTAAAAAGAATTTCCAGTTAGGGTTGCTATACTTTTAGATAAAGTGACTGATAAAAACAATAAGAAATTTATTAGGGTGATAAGGACACTATTACCTTGCTGATTATTGGCATGCTTTTTCACAGGCGAAGGCAAGCATCAACCTTCCACGGTCATTGCTCTTATATGGATATTCAGTAAAATTTGGCCACTTCTTTGTTGGAAGTGTTAAAAGACATCTTATTATTTTAATGAAGACAACCTCATCAAAGCTGACTACATAGGAAAGAAATACTAAAAGTTTAAGAAAATATAACTAAACTGCTAAGGTAGGTGTCCCTGAGTGAAAGTGATTTTATATACATAAAAAAAAAATAACACGTAAGATAACTTTAGCCACACAGAATTGCTAAATGAGCTGGGAAGTTATGCTTGGTTGCACAAATTACAAAATTTTAACCACAAGGTTAAAAACTACTGTATTCCCCCCCCCCCCCCTGTGGATTTTATGCTGTATCCTCTACTCCAGAGAAGTAAAATGCAAATATGTAGTTTACTTGAAGCCAGGTGGAGTGTCCACTTTGATTTATTGTGATAATATGGGGCAGGGGGTTAGAACACAAGGCTGGGCTGTCGTTACCAAACTGCAGAAGTGCCTTGAGTAATTTTACATTTTCAAGAAAAGCCCATGCAATTCTGCCAAGAACTAATTAGATCAAGGCATTTTGCAATTTTAGCAAGTGCTGGGGCTGTGCTCCATTCAGTGACATCATATTCTTGCAAAGTGGGTATTCAGCAGTTGCTGTGATAAAAAGCCATTGCAGGAAAATTGTGGTGGAACAAGAGATGAAGGGGTGACATCCTTTTATTCCAAGGTTTGAGGACTTGCACAGACAGTGCTCAGCAGGTCCATAAATCCCGGTATTAAATAATCGTGATCAAGAGTGAAATATAAGGGCTGGGGCTGAAGCTCAGTGGTGGAGGCTTGCCTAGCGTGGGTGAGGCACCGGGTTCGATCCTCAGCACCATGTAACCAACGAATAAAAAATAGAGGTTAAATTCTTTAAAAAAGAGTGAAATCCGAATATTATTATACAAAACAAACAAGCAAACAAATGACAACATGCCAGCCCAAGTCAGTCGCATTTCAGGGGTAGCCTGCTCCTGGCCTCTTGTGCCAAGTGCCAGCCTTTGGTAGACAACCTAAGGGTTGTCGCAGACCCTGCTGGGGGCTATTGGTGAAGCACAGGAAAAAGGACCCATTTCCCTTGGCATTACAGCTCCAAGTTTCCCCTTCATTTCAACTCCCGGGTGATTGACCCACCCTGAACTCACACCCCGGGCACACACAAGGCTCAGCAGTCTCCGACTTCACAGCCCTTCACAGTACCCCAGCACTCACCATCGCTCCCTGTGGAGCCCGGTGGGGTTGCGAGCAGAGGGAGCCAGTTCTGTGAGACACCTCTGCCCTAAGCACAGCAGAACAGGAAAACTTCCAGCCCTATCTTCCTCGTCCAAAGGAAGCCGAGATCGCATCTGGTTACTTACTTTATGTACTCACAATTCCCACGGCCACTCAGGACTCTGGAGCTAGCGGAAATCAAACAGCCCGAACCAGTGTTGCCGGAGGAGTCAGAAATAGGACCCTTATGCAAAATTTTGAACCTACTGCTGGCTGTTGCTTACATTTTAACTTGTTGGTTTGTTGCATCAGTGAAACGCCAAGAAAAACACTGGGAACGTGCACTTTAGACTCATTCTTCTGCCTGCAATCTGTGAATAAGTTTGGGGGTTACAGCGCCATCCCCATTGCTTATCAACTTTTTTAAAGGGACAAGAATAAAACTGGACAACTGTGCTAATAGCTGCAAAAACAGAACTTCACTTTTAAGAGTTTTGGACCATTTCACATTTAGACAAAATTATTATTAAAAAATCATATATATCACAGTTTTTTCTTTAAAATTTTTTTTATTTGTTCTTTTTGGACAGACAAGATGGTAAGAGTATATTCTGACATACTATACCTACATGGAGTATAACTTCCCATTCTTGTGGTTGTATATAATATGGAGTTTCACTGGTCATGTATTCATATGTGAACATAAGAAAGTTATGTCCGATTCATTCTTCTCTTTCCTATTTCCATCCCCCTCCCTTCCTTTCTGGAATAGAAGTTCAGTGGACGTCACTCGCATTTTTTAAGTTTAATTTTAAAAACACAAAAAAGTATCAATGATCGCCCAAACCCTTGGGAAATTCTAGGCAGATGGCATCGGAAGAGTGTGGCTTTTGAAATCACAAGTCCTGGAGTGATTTGTGTTCACCAGCTATTGCCAGAGTAATCTTGGAAAAATTTCTCAGCTCCATTTTCCTAATTTAAAGTAGATGTAATGTCTGGCCAATTAGTTCAGTTGATTAGAATGTGGTGCTAATAAAATAGGCATCATAATACCTGACTCAAGTAATTGCAGTGGTTAGATGACGTCATCTCTGTCAGAAGCCTTGCACCTAGTGAATTCTGTGTAGGATGGTGATGGTGGTGATGATGTCATTGTTAGACCAGTTAATTGATAACTGATGCATAATGTTGAAATGACTCCTCCAGGCACAGAGAGTGAACTCGAAGAGACATTGGTGAACTGAGGCAGGGAGAGGGCTCTGGAAGAATTAATCTTTTCTGTTGATCCTAATACTGTGTGACCACGGCCTCTGGCTGTGCATCTGGAGGCCTTGTAAACCCTGAGCATGTTGCCAGCCACTGGGATCACACCTGGCCTTCTTTCTGGCTTACTGAATCCTTGGCAGGGAGATAGCATCGTTAGTCCTTGGAGTTCGGTGCCTTCCTGAAGCTCTGAAGATGATGATAACTTGGATGACTTCAAACCTAATTTTTACCCAGAAGGTACACCTTGAAGACTAGTATTACTTCAAGTATGATTTTAAAAATTGAGTCAGGAACACCTGGAGAGTTAGGGCCACCATTAATGTCCCAAAGCCTAGTAATAATTAAGCACTTACCTTGATGTATACGTGGTATACACTAAGGAGATCCCTGGGCCTTACTGGACATGCTGCTGACCTGAGGGGTAGCAAAGGACTTTAAAGTGTTGACTGAGCAAAATCATGATTATTTTACCTAATTAGCTAGAGATTTGTATTAATGAAAAATGAGAAGATTGCCTTTCAGTGGCTCCTTCACATTCTGCTATTTTTAGGACTTGTAGTTAGTTGAACTTTAGCCCATAAGATGAGAAAATCTCTGGATTCTCTTATTCAAGTGGCTCTAGAACCTGAGAAGCCAGATCTAAAGGCAATAATGCCCGTTAAGATATATGCACTTTGCTTTCTGGGGACTTGGTAGGATTGTACTTTGTGGCCTCCTAGTGGTAGGTTGGAAATGTGTGATTAGGCAGCTCAAGAAACTGTGAACCCAAGTAATGTGTCCTTTCTGGATGGGAGTATTAAATTGCCTGTCAAAGATCCCATAAGACTTTCTTTTCTTCACTGTGGTAACTAGCAACGTAAGATAGCAGTTCTATTAGCCTGCATACTTGAGTTGACCCCCAAAGGACACAAGAATCAAAGAGAAGTAATCTGTTTTGTCTCAAGGTATTGAGATTTGGGGATTGCTTGTTATTGCATCTTACCTAGCTTCTACTAGATCCTTCATTGTATTTCTAAATCATCTTAAATCTCCCTTTCTTTCTTCCCTTCCTCTGATGCATATTTAGAGCCGTGTAATTTTTAGAGCTGAAA